CCTCTCTTAGACTTAACTTCTAAAAGACATGGTGGATTTCAGGAGATTGTTACGGAATGGAGAYGGTTAATATTAAACTGGTACCATACAACTCCCATGTTCCAAAATRCTAATAGATATTTTTGGACAGCCATTAAAAGCATATCTTTGAAATTCTTGTTGGAAAGAACAAATACCATTTCTGCAATGAGAAAAATATTTTCTGGAGAGAAAAGAAGCTTGAGGAAAGCTAAATTTTCTTCCATTTTCAAAGAAACTAGTTAGAAAAAGAAATCAGTTTCTTTAAAAATAATGAATTCTTCTATAATTTTAAATAWCATTGAACTCTTTGTCTAAAAAAGCTTTCTTGTTTGCTTAACAAAACAAATGCTTGAAATATAAATGATGCCATGGAGCCTTTGCTGTACTCTAGCCACGTTATTCAGCCACAGATACGTCAGAGGCAATGGATGATATCTCATGGCTTTAGCCTTATTTCATTTGCCTGTGGCTGTCACTGCTGCTCATGTGAGAGCACTGTTGCACCCAGACTTCAAATGGCCTTTGCCTGGTGAATTCACCAGCTCAGTAAGATGGTCTGAATTTCACCCTTTCTCCACTCATATCCTGCCCATCTGAAACAAGTTCTTAATCCTGACCTCCCAGATAAGAATATAGATTTACCAAAATACATATTCTTATGCAGTGATTAGAAGAGACAAAATGCCCTAATTAAATCCTACCGACTTTTAATAAATGAACAAAGAAATACAGAAATTAAATATATCTTCCTGGCCTTACAGTTTACTTACCAAATCTTTAGGGACCAAGAACAACTAGGCACGTGCCTAAGAAATAACCCAGAAATTGTTTAAATCAATGTACACTTAGAAGATGAGAAAGTGTCCCTTGAGTCCTGGTAAACTATCACAGATAAAGGAAGCTCTGTTTGCAACCAAGGCTTGAGGCAGCTTGCAAAGACAGTCCCAGCAACACCCACTTTCTCCAATCCTCTTGCAGTGGGGATTTTTAACTACACACAAAGGGTTGTGCAAACAGCCCTTTTCCTGGGGTGCACAGGAATGGTGGTAACCAGAGTGAAGCCTCTCGAACTTCTATAAATCAGGAGTGGCCACTGCTGATTAGATAATTTCACACAACTTACACACACAAAAAAACAGGCTGATTTCCTTTCAGTGAAGGAAGGCTGTGGACATATTGCATGTTTTAAAAGGTAATGTGTAAGAACAAGCCTCTTTTCAAACTCTATAAATCTAATTTGGAGGCATAGGAAATAAGCCTGATGGGGAAATGGGCGACCCAAGGTGTGACCTTCTCAGCAACTGAAGATGGAGATCTTAGATTGGACTAAGTCATTGATTATAGGGTTTATTGTAGCATTATCTTAGGCTGTAACAGAAAATGAAAAAATCCACACAGCTGCTTAATTGTACTTCAGTTTGAGRGAATGTGAAGATCTCATTTAACTACCTGTACTTGCTACTGATAAGTTCCTGCAGAGGTCTGGCAGGAAGACAAAGAAGGATTTGTTTAAATACATCATAGTGTCCAACTGCTTTTAGATTGTTCTAAACAAGAAATCCAGGAGTGCGAGTTTTTTTTATAACTCATTGAATTCCGAAAGGTTAATTTGCATTTCCATTATCATAATTGACAACTTAATTTGTTGCAGATGTTTTAAAGAGAATGTAGAAATAGTAACAGGAAAAAAAAAGTTTAAAAATCAGTTTCTAAGCAATATAATTTTAAAACTTTCTCAAGAAGRCAACAATCATAAAATTCCTTTTCTTTTAATAGTTTTCTTTTCTGATTGTCTTCAAGAAATGAATATAGTTCTTTCAAAGAAAGAAAAAGAAACTGACTGAGGAACCAAAATAAATACTGAAACTATGATGAGAAGTGTATTTGGAGTTGARTTTTCAAAAGACACCTCTCCCTGAAKCTGCTGTATCTACTGCCATARTTTTAATACTGCTCWGCACTAACACAGCAGAAAATATTCRGGAYGAGAGGGTAGAACCACTTTCTCCTATTCTATGAATTCATTAAAATTCAAAAATGAGAATATAGAAAAAAACTTTTTATCCACTTCTTGTGGTTTCAGAAGGATTGGTCAGAGCACAACTGCTTAAGATCATTCTTCTCTTGAGAACCAAACCCAAATGACAAAGACAATAAAATGCTACAGCTCATCCAACAGACAGATAAACCCCTGTGCTCAGCTTCCTACCCAACTCCTTGCACACCATTCTTGCTGCGATAACACCTCCGAGCAGTCTGGATTGCATGTGGATTGCTGGGATTGCTTTAGTTATAGCAGTCATTCCTTCAACAATTATTGAGAAGAGGTGTTATGTGAATTCTTAAATGATGGTTAAAGAACCGTGAAAAGTCCATATTCAAGCTTAATGAATTCAGATCACAACTACTTACTTAGAGTGAAAAGTCTAATTTAATGATAAAAACAGAATCAGCTTTGAAATAAGTTCAAATCAAACTTGAAATATTGAAAAATGGGACAATTAAGGAATCAATGCATATTCAGTTTTGCAACCTTGAATGTCTACCCCAAAAAACAAGACACATAAGATCTACATTTTAGACCAAATCCAGAAGAACAAACCAAGAGTAAGTTATCGTATTCATACACCCATGTCCCACATGTGGGGTGCTTTTGCTTATTGTATTGCCATATTAACTATTAAGACTTCAAGAAGTCTTCTGAGGCACTTCAGTCTATTCTGTGAGCTCAGAATTATCCCTGAGACCTGAAAGTGCTCGTTTTGTCTTGGACWTACAGAGCAAGGCTGTATTAAATAGCAGACTAGAGCCAGATAGGTCATTCCCCTCTAACACCCCAAAGTCCTAACAGGACATTGAAAAGTGACCCTGTGAYAACTGGACATTGCTACTTACTTGTCTCCCATGTTCAGGGCATTATACCAGCCCAAGTGACAATTATATTCCATATTGGATAAAAACTGAACCATGTCCATTTCAGAGATATTATTCCCAAAGTTCTTATGTCAAAGTATTTTTAAAACCTTTTTCTGCAACAAAAATATTACTTTTTCCTTTCTCTGTTTCGACAAAGTTGAATAAGCTTAACAGGTTCAGATGTTCAATTTTGCTTCTGGAAAAAAGAAATCAAACCCAACCCAAATGCAAAACATGTAGATAAAATGGGTGATTTACCAAATTTGGAGCCTGCATTTTGCAGCTCTGTTGAAAAACCAAGRTTATTTTTWAAGATAAATTTTGCTTTTATACAAKAAAGTATCATTTTAATACCTATTCATTTCTGCTTCCCAGTGGTACAGAAATACATGGAAATGAAAAATATAATAGGCAGTCTGGGAAACGTATTCCTACTCAGAAAATGTATTGGAGTAGCTTCCAGTCAAATTATACACAGGGATGCATGTAGGATGGATAGTGGGAATTCTTTTAGCCTCAACAATTTATCCATATATCTGTGATTCAGCTGCTTCTCTGGTAATTGACCTGTAATCTCTTTCTGCCTGTATTAATCACATCTATTACAGGTTTGAAGCAACCCCTTTACAATGGAAAGGAATCACAATTTATCTTTCAGGACAAAGACAATGAAATGAAAATCTTAACATTACTTCTTTAATTTAAACACATTGAAATCTCTTCTCACCATACCCAGTTATCACTATACAACACGGGAGAAAGGCAGCTCTTTTCCTTCCAGGTTAAAACCATTCCCCACCCCCTCCCCCCTATTTGGACACATTTTGCAATTTGGAACTAAGTTATTTGAATAACCTTCCTGAAACAATGCAACAAGCGATGCGAGTATGCTAAAAAATAAACCCAAACACCCTCACACACTCCCAAGCCTCCCCTAAAAGACAAGACAAGGAATCATTTAGCAGGATCTTCCAGATTAACTTCAAACTTTCCTACCATTAAGAGAAGCAATCTTGAGCACAAGCCAACTAAGCAAGCCAACGTTTCTCCTTTTTGTGTTAGTGAAACTGAAGCTGCCTTCTCCTAGTGCTCTAAATCACTTTCTTGTTACTATGTAGTTACTTTTAGAAAATAATCTTTTAAGCAAATGACAATAATAACAACAATAATATTATTTGAAGGGGAAATGTTTCATTCACAAAGACAAGTAGAATCTATGAGCAAAATGTGGTCTAGACATATGTCTATAAACTCTAGCTGTAGAACGAAAGTGAAAATGACACTCAACACCCATGGGTCCACTGAGCCCATGGACCACTAGGCTCCTGTTACACCGGTAGAAATCCTGTCAGTATCTCAAACTTAGTGTCACCTCTTTGAAGATCACACAAATATGGCAATAGGAATATATGGAATAAGTGCACTGAAGGAGCCCCTTGACTGTGAAATTGTCCTTATAAATGTCTTGCCACAGGAGTCAAAGCTTTGGTGGTGCAGCTTGAAGTTTCCTGTAGTCTATGGAGTTGTTCCATGCCCAGAAATTTTCTTTATGTAACAATACATACTTCAATAAAAATTTTACTTTTCCACTTTTTGAAACTTATTACTATTGTTTTTATRCATAGTAACTCTTGAGAAGAAATCACTTGTCTCATTCAGACATCTGAGAATTTTAAGGAAGGGTTTGAAAATTTTATGTAACCTATCTTGTGGTGAATATGAATATTTTCATTATAGCTTCAGCAAAAAGGGATAAAAACTTCAATGTAAGAAACTATAGAAAAAACAGTGCCATACTGAGTGCATATAATAGTATCTCAATGCAGCTTAGGATCCTGAATTTGTTCTATGCATCTTTATAACATACTTATATAAAACCAATAACACTTATGTAAACCGCATCTCAATGTGCACCCATTCAAATGTGTCACTATTCAAATCTATTCTTGTAGGCTTGATGATAGACACACTAAATCATTACATAGAAATGAACATTATATATTATATACATTGATACAATGTTTCATTCTTTACGACTTACGGAACAGGAAAGAAAGACTTACCATTCTTTTTATAAAACATGATTTCTCCTTTAAATTCTATCTTTTCCTCCAAAGATTTCTCAATTTGAAGAATCATCTGCTCATTTGTTTCAGCACCAAGTAAAAATTTACAGCTGCAGCTCTTCTGCATGACTTCAGTCCGTGCAAATCCAGCAAGCTCGCAGAAGCCATCAGAGCAGTAAACGATGGGGAATCCCTTAGCCACCTGAGCATTTGCAAGGATGAAGTTACTATCTGCAGAAGAACACAAAAGTAAAAGGTGAATTGCAGTCTAAATTCTGTGCCATTTGCCATAATACTTTATTTAACATCATGAGAAGGCACAACCGGATGGGCATTTAAAAGCAAAGTCCCAACTGCATGTAAAAAAGAATCTAACTTCTGGTTTTAGGCTATTATTTTGAAATTTAAATTAAGTCTAATATTGTATGAAGGTCATCTTCATACAATAGTTCTCCATGGCCTTGTGTTTCATTGTCTCCTCAARGAATACTTTATGATAGCTGCCCCTGAGATGGATGTCAACACATTAAACCAACCACTTGAACAAAGACCAGTGGCAAATATTGAAATTATGGAAAAATTTCAAATGTTACATTATATTGCCACTCAGACTACTCTGCAGTCTGAACAGACATAGATACATCATAAAAAGAACTCCAAAACCTCTGTGATCTCAATAAGATAATGTTGAGTTTTATTGGCTCTCAAACAAATTAATTTTATATAATTTTGCAAGGGAATCCTTAAAATACTCTTGAGGGACATGCCAGGCTCTGCAGAATTAGGGAAATTCTAGAGTATATGGAATTTTTTGTCCTTTGTGGGCAGTTGGCCCACAGCATTCTGTTATACTTAATTCTCTTTATAATTTTTCAGTGTGTTTAAGCTGCAACTATATTGCACAATACATTCAAGATTAGCACATTGACAAGGACATCACTCTACAAAATGCAGTATTCTAATTTGGTTTCAAATTTTTGGCAAATCCAACAGCTGAACCTATTGGCACCTCATTCCYATCCCTTGCTGAAATATTTTTGAAGGCTCTGTGCCTCAGACCTTCAGCCTATGCCAAAAACTCTGACTCTTTACAGCCTTTGTCAGTTATCAGGGAGACCCTTTCCAGATAACATATGAACTTCTCATACAGATTTTTCTGCCTGTGTTTCCTTGTGTTGAAGTAAAAAAAAAAAAAAAAAAAAAAAAAAAAAAAAAGTATGGGCAGAATCTGTCTACATTTCATATTGAGGGAGGAAAGATTATTTTTTGCCTCTTGCTTGTTAAGGAATGTTTACCTTACAGCTTGCTAGCAGGAGCTTAGGAGCAGTTTAGTCCCAAGATGGACACCTCTCATTTTTCAGACCTATGTGCAAGTGAATTCATGCRTGTGTATTCAGGGGAAATACTATTACCTAACCCATAATCCCTTGGTAAATATTCATAAATTTAAARAGAAAGAAATGAATTATTTTAATGGAAAACTCAGGTTGATATATCTAATCCCCATACAGGGATATATTATTTATGGTTGGGAATGTGGGGACAGAATTCATAAACTAAAATAAAGGGAAGAATAAGTCTGCTTTTCTGTTTGAACTGTTACAAGAGTTCTGCATCTGTGAAATCCMAGCAATTTCAGTTGTGTTACCCTTTAATTACCCAAGGGATGAAGTACTATGTTTTATACTGCTAAAATTTTGGCATTTTAAAGACAATGGAGGTTTATTAAATRATCAATTTGCTCTCAAGGCTTTCCTTCAGTTACCCACATTTTGTTCAAATGTAATTAAAATCTTTCAAWAAATGATTGTTATGTTAAAACAGTCTTTTCCCATTCACCAAATAATGTGTTTTTAAAATGCATTCTGGTTCAGTACAGTGYTTCACTTAGCCTGTCATTTTTATTTGCCTGGCTGGGGAATAAGTATCATTACCATTCATGCACTAACATGCTGCTCCCTCTGTCAACACAAAACTAAATCCCCACACTGCCAAAAGAATTAAAATCATATGCTTGCAGTGCATAACGACGGAGTTGGAATGCAAGACCTGCAGATCATTAAAACCAAATACGTTTGTAGCCATCAAATTAATTTACCTCTGTGTTTCTAATTGTTTAAGGCACAATTATGTGATGCAAAGACTGTTGTGGGGTTTTGTTTTTCTTTTTATTTGTAATAGTTGAAAATTTTATGAAACAGAATATGGAACACCAAAAGGACAGAAAAGGTAGAGGATGTGCGGTAGTGATTGAATATCATTATGAACAGGAATGCACTGGAGMTTACCAAGCATACWATGATTTTATGAAAATTGRAAGGGGGCCAAACTCTWTTGTCATTTACACCAAAATAAACSCAGAAGACTTGTGGTTACTTTAAAATTCATAGAATAAACCAGTTTACTTATAAATACCAATCCAGTACCAGCTAGAACAAGCACCAATCTTTCTCTTAATATCAGCAGATGTCTGATAAAGCTTGCAAGCCTAATTTTACTGAACTTTTTCAGTACAACAGCAAAGCATCAGCATCAGGAAAATACAATTGGAATTCTATTTGCTGGGGTTTTTTTGAGCCTGAAGTTAAAATAAAATCATGAGAGACGCACCTGTAATCCCAAACGTTTACACTAAGGGACACACTTAAATAATTTGTTGAAAAATTTCTAGTCATACTAAAGGATCAAGAAACATTATGCCCAATAATAACAACATGTATCATCAAATTCTTCAGTTACACTTATTAAGTTATTAACATTTACCTATTACATAAAGCAAATTAAAAATAAAAAATCAATAAAAACCCAACAAACCCATAGCTTAAAATATTGTGGTTAAAAGTTCATTTAGTTCTGTAATTTATTTTAATGGCTTCAAATATTTAATATCACTTGCTATTACTTGTGCATGAATATGGCCTGAATATTAAGTTATTTTATTCAGGTTGGTTGACCAGCAGACAATATTAGATTACTGGTAGATGCTTCGCTTTCATTTTATTTAGAGATAAGAGAATACATCCAAGCTAAATACTTGATCTATTGAGAAAGAWGTAACACCGAGCCTCTGGGGCTTTGGAAAAAAAAAAGAGAAGAGCTGCTGCAAATCTGTATAAGAACAGAATTGGGCTATTGAGGAATAAATGTGGTGCAGGTAGTTCAGTTTGCCAGCCACACAGTGAGATCCAGAGACAGCAGCCCGTGAAATGCCAACCCTTTGGTTAGCAAAGGGCACAAAGATGGGCAGTGCCAGCTGGGTGGATGGACACTGAGAGACATAGAAGGAGTGGAGGAGTCGAGAGAAAGAGAGAGACATATGAGGAGACAGAGAGTCTAAAACTCAGGGGTTCCTTTGTTGAGGGTCCTCCTTGGAGGCACCAGCTCAGGCTGTTTTTGCATTTCTGTACCATGAATAAATGGCTTTATGGAAAGAGTGATCTGAGGCTCTGCYCTGGGAAAGCTGTGCTGGATCAGGTGGGGAAACTGGTCTGGGAAAGCTGGTCTGGGAAAGCTGGTSTGGCTGTGTGRGTGTGGGGTGTGAGGGGAGTCCAGCGGGCCCCTGTCGGGTCACTGGAGCCTCCCACAGTGAGCCTTGGTCCCAGCAGGGAAAGTCTCTGAGCTGGGAGTGAGACTGTCMGAGTCCAGTGAATGGGCAGACTGGATGTTTTCTTAACTGTTTGACTCTAAGTTTCAGCTCAGAAATTAGGTGCTGTTGGCCTGTGTAAAATAAATATAAAAATGCAGATCAGATATCTGTATATTAGCTTTGGATAAAAATACTTGATTATACATCCAAGCCTGAATGAGTTTCTTAAAGAATGATTTAAAAGTGCTTCTGTTCAGATGGGACAAGAGGTCTAGACACAAAACATCCAACATTCACAAGGTTTTCTTTTAGCAGTGAGTCAGCAGACATGGATGAATATGAGAGAGGTCCCTGGCTAGGGAAGCAGATTTCTTTCAGTTGTGATTCTTTCACTTTAAGCTCATTTTCTATGAAGATCAAATTACTTTTTCACATGAGAGTTGGAAAGAAGCCTGTTAGGAGCTTGCATTGCTTTCACTTCAGAAGTAGAACACACTGGAGAGGATAGGACATTGATCAACAGAAGACTCACATGGTGTCCAGAAATCTCTGCCGGAAACACAGAGTAAAGCCARAGACCATCAAATAAAATGAACCAGAACCATGCAAACTATACCTTAAATCACAGACTTAGACACTGTTTCTATGACTTGATAYCCAAAAATTATAACTGGAGAAAAARAGGAAATTTAGATCTCATGCCATGTGATACAGAGAATCTTATTCGCTAAACATCCAATGACAGGTTTTTAAAATTGAGATTATTAAATAAAAAGGCTTGATGCAATATTCTTCCTCCTAATTAATGCACACGATTTATCTGACTGTTGTAATGACACTGCGTTACACTTAAACTCTGCACTCCCTTCATGAATCCTCCTGTCATATCTAGCAAAAAATGACAAAAGGTTTTTTGCTTTAATGCTGTTGCTATGTCTGCTATAAATCTCATCATTGTGCTTCCCCAGTTCTTTTAACGGTTCTTTTTAATCAAAGTCTAGAAGGGTTCATGAAGAGAATGCCTATCTGACCTTTGCAACTGAGCAAAGCCAACAACCAATCCAATTTAAAATATTAAATTGTTTAAGAATTAAAGAGGAAGAAAATATCCTACAAAAGAAAAAATCTTTAGTCATCAAGGAAGCTACATTAATTAAGCAGGTGACTCACACAGTTACTCTATTGATTGTAGAACAATCCACAGTTCTTCTGGATGAAAGGATTTACTACATTTAGATTTGATTCCACAGTTCGTACACAGGCGACTTWACAAGGGAAATCTCATTCCCGGTTCATGCAAATTACCGTGACTGAGAACATGACCACATTAACACTTAAGATTACCAATTAATGGAATGATTAAAGTAGCATATGAAAACATTTAGCTTTATGTCAGCACACTTAGATGCAAGTGAATTTAATTAGAGCTCAAAATCATTTGCAGGTAGTGTCCTTTGAATCTGATTGAGACCAAAATTATTTTTATAATGCATACACTTCMAAATATTAAAATACCTCTTGAAAAATCTCAGTACAGTTGAATGGGTCACTAATATAAGGTSAATCTAAGCAAATCAGAAAGAAAGCTGATTGTACTGATATTTCCTCCCACTCTTCTTTAAAAATGAATTTATATTCCAATGTA